TCCTCTCCTCTCCTCCTCCTCCTCCTCCTCACACAGACAAGAGCGGGCGCTAGGGCTGCAGGGCTTAGGTCCATCTCCCTGCCTGTGATGTCTTAAGGTTTGCAACGCAAGGCTGGTTGTCTCTGCTTTTGGTGTTCGCTGGAAGTGCCTGATTGTGAGACATAACTTGTGTCTAATTGATGAGGGTCTCATTAGAGAGGCCTTTGGGGAGCCAATCACGAACTAATCCTGCTGCTATGGCTTCCGATTATCCACACTGAGGGTCTGGAGGGAATTGAGCTGACAGCCCTTGGACAGGGTGGGGGGGTAGGTGGGGGAAAAGAGGAGGAGGAGGAGGATTGCGTTTGCAGGACAAAGGTCACAAAAGGGTGCTGTTTCGGCCTCCTACGAATCCCAGCAGGGCACCTTTCTTGCTTCAAAGATGGAGCGCTGAGGCCAAGAGTTAACTCATGTTAGACGTCCAGCTGGGGTCCTTCAGGGTCTTTGGGCTTCACTCCCGCCGCAGGGCTGATCTGGAGTTCCTCTCCACGCTCCCCACCTACTTTTGATTCTCCTCCATCCTGCCCATGCCACCTGAGCAGTCCATGGCCCCCTGTAGCGAGGTTGTGGTCCTCCCTGGTAACCAGGCATGTTTGGATGTAATTTCAGCTTTGTTGTCTTTTCCCTTGCATCTTTACCTTTGGAAGACCTGAGATGGTTCCTCTTCCTTCTTTCCTTAAGGCCCTTCTTCCTATAAACACATGACACCCCCCCGAACCCTGAATGTGGTCCTGTCTCCTTCCCATCCCGAGTCTCTTTCCCAGGGCGTGTTGGGTGGCAGGGAGTAGGTGGGTGGGTGGGGTGTTGGAGGGTGATAAAATGCCCCAGCGTCTTCATGTGCACGCACTGTTTTTTCTCCCAGCCTCATCTTCTCAGTCTGGCCCCTTTCTCAATGGAATTGCTGCAGTCCCATTTGTCAAGGCGAGAGCTTGAGATGAAAGCCTGCCTGCCAGCCCGTTAATATTCCACTTAACGAGCTGACGAAGCAGATCGTCTGTGGTTCCAGGGTAGGGAATAATTAAACTAGCTCTGGGCTCAGGGGGTTTGGCATCACTGCCCTAGGCTACTGGTCAGGAATGGGCAGATATGCGAGGAGGGGGAGTGAGGAGACGGTCCCCCCCCCCCCCCCCGC